CCCCAAAACCCCAAAACCCCAAAACCCCAAAACCCCAGAGGCAGAACTATTTATAGAAATTAATCAAGATGATTAATATTACTGAACTACTTTATTAAACTCCTCCTTCTAGTTCTTTCCATTCTTTCTCGATTATATCTTGGGACTTCTTGATCTCTTCTAAATCGCTTTGCTCCTTTTCCATTTCCAGATCTTTCTCTACCTTCATAACTTTGCTTTTCCTGTCCTTGATTGGATGGCTTTGAGGCGAGTACTCCTCAGAAGGATGATCCTGAACGATCTGGTTCATTAAGTCTGTATCCAAGATTTCAGAATCTTTATTAATCCCATGATTCGCCTCCTTTGAGTCTTCTTCAGGAGCTTCTTCTGTCAGAATAAGATCTTCTTCTACATCTTCCAGGGTTCCGTCATGTTTAGTTTCTTCTCTACCCTCTCTTGGGATTTCAGTCATCATTTTCTAGAAATTAGCCGGAACTGTACTGAAATAGGGACGACTCTTCTTGACGAGTTTGCTGATCCGCTGACTTGGCTCCTAACTATGAGCTCATCCTTCCTTCTATAAGTTTTTAATGAATCCTTAATAAGGTAAACACTTAATGTGACCTAGAAAGCTGCCTAATAATTTGGAGGCAGGGTCTGAATAACTCCAAAGGCACCTTAACTGCCTACTAGATGTAGGGTCTTTTGAAGAAGGAACATTATGGATACATATTATATGTCGAAATGTCCAAAATATAGTAATTCTTACTCTGCTTCCTTCGAATCTGGGGCTTTCGTTACACCTTTATCTCCTGAAGACAAGCCTATAAAATGTTAGTGGTGATTCTGTAACTGTTTTTACCCTTTCTGAGCTCTCCGTATTCTCCGCTCCTAATGCTATCAGTATTTAACGAATCTGTAATATTTTTATGAGCATTAATTTTTGATTTGTGACTATCTATTTTGCCTATGCCGTCTTCTCCAAAAGCGGGATTTTCAATGTCAACTTCGTCCAAATAGCCAGGTTTTATTTTTGTCTTTGATGTACAGCTATCGCCTCTATAAAAGTTACAGAGATTAGGACTCCTTGATTTGCATGGAGATTCGTTTTATACCGAAGCTTACTTAAACAACCTCTGAGAGCTGCCAGATCCAAGGGTTCCATCCATAAAGCCAGGGTCAATGGAATCATCTAGCACAAAGTGACTCTGTTCTAGCTTCTTCATAACATTGGATTTAAACTGGAGTTTTGCCTTAGGATCCATTATTTCTTTCCTGTTTATATCACGAGCTCTACTGGCTCTGCAAAAAGTGAGACAGCAACACAGGTATGTCCCAATAATTTCAGTGAATGACATTTTCATTGAGGCTAAAGGCTCTCCCTTTTTACTAATGCGTTTATTTGCAGATACCCATCACATTGAAATAGATACATACCTTAGCAATGACTGGCATCAGAAAGACTATACTGATCACAGCAATTGCTGTATATAGCAGATAATTAGCATTTGGATCGTATCCAAATTCACAATCTGCAAGGGTAGCTCCGCATGTTTGTTGGATTCATCACGTGGCTGATCAATCAATCCCTGCTGTCAAGCAATAAGAATTATCAACAACATTTCCATTGCCTCCGGTTGATGCTATAAATTTATAATGAACATTTTCCTCAAAGACGAAGCCTATAGCTTGGAGGGTTATAGACTTAGAGAAATGCAAAGGAATCCATCTAAACCTAGAGTCTTTATAAAGATAAGGTTTAGGGTCCACAACCATAATCTATATCACGAGCCTCGAGTTTTAACCTGTGCTAAAACTTACTGTTCTTCTTTGATGAACCTCTGGCCATAACTTGGTACCCACAAAGTCCAAACAGGACCAAATTTCTATTAAAAATAAGCTCTATCTTATATTGAAACTTACGCTAGAAGATATTTATTTCAATATGATTTAAAACAATTCTCAGGTTTCCTCAGAAAGTTTGCCCTCAAGTTTATGTCAGTTAGTTCAACAACGATTGAGACAGCGGCAATGAAAATGATAGACTAATAGAACAAAGTTATTGAAATAGTACTGGCAAGACTCCAAGAGCAAGCCAGGGAGGATACGCATCCATAGTTAGACCTGAGTCGATCAGAACAGACTTCACGGAGGCATAAGAGAAATTTAGAGAAAATTGACAGTATTGAGCCTGAGTTATTTTATCCAAAATCTTCCAATTCTCCTCTAATATGGTATGACTTGACAATGACGAATTGCTAAGTTAAATAATTGGATCCATCTGAATTCATCAAACAGATAGCATCTTATGTTTCTCTTGAGAGGTTTGAAAATTTTTACGATTTCTGTAAGAAAATGAAGAACCAACTAGATTTGCACAGGAGAATGTGCTAAATCACTGAGCCTAGCTCATTATTAGCTGATCTGGCAACTCTCGTTGTCTGCATGCTCTAATAATATACAAACAGAGTGAAAGAGCTGCTTTTCGAAGGAAGATAAGTATTTTATTAAATATTTCGCCAATAAAGTTCTTACTAATGAGAAATGTATATGATACTAAGTCAACATCAAGATTGGTGCTTCTTTTCAGATGAGTGGACATTAAAACCCAATTTATCACAATGAAAGGACTCCTTTGTAGTAAAGTTCAGAGTACTTAATAAAATTACCATATTTACCTGGGACATCATTTGTGTGCAATCTTAGTGATAAAATCTCTGGATATTTTATCGCTTAATAACAAATAATTTTTATTAGGTATATAACTAACCTCAAATTGTTAGTCACCAAATTATATGTTCAATCAACTTGTTGTCACTCTTAGCTTACCACCTGCCAATGTGAATCAGCAAGCATTTCTCCTCAGATCCGCACTCATAATCATCTGCAGAGACATCAGAAGGCTACTTTGGAGCTCAGTGCCTGCAATTTTAGTTGCTTCAAATTCTGAGTTTGGCTAAGCCTTAAAAAGTAACCTTTAAAAATCCCCAAAAACATTTTTTGAGTTGACAGGGAAAAGCCTTACATTTAGGATGAGCTTCAGAAGTCCTGAATTATATCCTCAGTCGAGCCTAAAAAGCCAGCTTAAATGGAGAGACTTCGTGCTCTAAAAGCTAGGTTTAGAGATTATAGTTTAATAAGAACTCATTAAATCATGGTAGACTTAATCCAAAATAAGAAGAGTATATTAGGTTACCTATACGAGGCCTCAGATTTGAATTATTACTAGTCTTCAAGAAGGCTCTCAGATAATTTCTGTTGAAGAGGCCTACTTCATAGATCTCCAGTTTAGAATCACTAACACAGTATTTCCATCTACTTGTTCTTGATTCAGCACCCAAGTGTTTATATGTGGTCACAAGCCACAAGGATTTCTATCTAAAATTTGTCTAATATCTCCACTTTCAATAGCCTTCGGCATGAGTTTCAAACTTGAACCAGAATTACTTCTTCAACAGTGTAAGTTCAAATAACCTAGCCTTTGGAAGTCAGCATAATTTATAAATCACCCATTTCGACGCGCCATCAGTAGAAAAGAAGAGATTTCAAGTTTGCAGGAGGAGTGATACACCTCAGGGTTTTATCAAAGTTTGCAAGCTCTTAAAGTTTTCCAATCAAAACAAAAGAACAACAGAGTACGTGTCTAGCCATATTTAGCTAAATAGCTAAATTATTCTGGGATGCTTCTGGACTTGAAGTGGTAGGCTAGCCAAGTCATTGAAGTCTTTGCTAATTTATTTGCAGAAATTTGGAACCACAAGAGAGTCTAGACCCTGTTTAATGAAATATTTCTAATTTGTGTTCCTCCATATTTGTAACAGAATATTTATTAAAATTGAGAAATAATACATTCTCATCAACCATTTAGAATTTTCAGAGTTAGCCTGGGTGTCAAAGTGCCTACATGTAGGAAGCATGTTGAGAGAAGGACTCAGAAGGACCGAAGAACTATAAAGCGTATTATTAAGCTATATATTTTATTGTACCATCATTGCATTTAAACATTTTGGAAAATTATAGAAAATTCTTAATTTTCGGTCAGACAAATGCAACCTAATGGTTCAAACCTCAATCAGAAGCTAGAAATATTTCAAAATTTATGGAAAGATTATTATTGGAGGCTTGAAAACTGCATCCAGGCTGCTCTAGCCCTCAGACTGAGCAGGTGGGCCTGCACACTCTGATCAAAGGCCACTCTGGGGTCTGCAAACACAAGATTGTTCACTCCTTGGATGCCAAGTAAGTGTAGCAAGATCTCCAAGAATTCAGGCTGGTTGTTCATTCTCTTAAACAGTTTTTGGGAGTAGCAGTGCATAAGTCTGCCAATTGTGGCCTTGAGAGGTATGTCTTGGTCAGGAAAGACTCCTAGTTTGTCTTTAGGATTGATGATACAATCGAAGATTTCTCAGACTCTGCTAGTGCCATATTGAGGGAAATTGATAGCACAGTACTCTCTGAGGCAAACCAGATAGTCTCTATGCTGAGAATGAAGCTCTGTGGTTGAAAGGAAGTCCTGGATAAAATACTTCCTCATTCTTCTGAAGGTTGCCTTGTAGACGACATCTTTCCTAGTCTTGTAGCTTAAGTCACCACCAGTCATGCCTAATACTTCTTCAGACTCAGAGACATTGTTATTTGGGTTGTATCTAGCTGTATCACTTTCTTCAATAACTTCTTGAGCCTGATGTCTTGATTCAGGCACTGTTTTCACTTCTTCATGCGGTCTCAATTCAGAATGAAAAGATTTCTTTCAATATTCTCTAGCTGATGCACCAGTATCTTTTGGCGACTCTGGCTCATTTATGCTGACGTTCTGTGTAAATCAGAAGCAGTAAGTTGTTAATAGCTCCTCGATGAATGGCTCTATGCCAACCCTATTTGCTCTTTCAAATAACAATTTTTGCTGGTTACTACTATGAGTTTCTAAATAATAAATTAGCAGCCTAGTATGAAGAGGAATTTCAAGAGTGCAAATTTAAATTAAATACTCAAAGAGATCTCAGCCCAGCACTCCTTTGATATCCATTAGTATCTGGACAAATCAAAGATTCTTATATGAGTTCATCAGTCCTTGAAATAAAATATTTTAAGCAATTTCCCACTGACTTAAAACCCACCATCATTTTAAATGGCTTCTCAGCAAGAGGAACACTCAGAAGCCAGCTAGAATTATCTCGATGTACGAATGTTTGCTTGGCTTAAGGTCTGGCAGCTCAGACAAACAACATCAGGTTGGATAGTTCCAACTTCAAATGTGTTGAAAATAAATTTTCTAATGACAACTCTTACAATTTAGTTAGAAGCATTAAGAGTAAAACAATTTAATAGTAACTAATGCTAAGGGCAGGAGACTTACCTTCAACAGCATGAAGGTGCAGAGGTCCAGTGAAGCACTGGCATAAATTTGGCAACGAGTGCTGGATCCATTGTGCACTCTTAAATTGCACTTGGGTCATATCAAAACAAATATTTTGCATATTATTAGATATTTATTGCAAGTTCCACCTTAAATATTGTACGCGGGGTTTTGGGGTTTTGGGGTTTTGGGGTTTTGGGG